ATATTATCGTAGTGGTGTTACAGTTAAAACAAATATAGGTATGTACAGGTCTACAGGTAAATGATATGTACTACGCATGTATAGTTACAAAAGTAACTATCAATAAAGTTATTTCAGGGAGGGGGGGGATCAAATTAATACACCGTCGAATTAAAAAAAGTATATAACTTAATAATTGACCTAAGTTAATCCAAGTCATTTTTTATCAGATATTCAAATATATTTTGTAGTGTTATTTGCATAATGTTTTTTTACAAAGATACACGTCTTTTTTTTTAATGCACATTTAAATTGACTTTTAAAAACACAGTCTTTATACAGGATGATCCATCTGATGTAAAATAACGAATACGTAGCAAACAAACAGATTAAATCTAACATTTTTTAAAAATTGTTGTCAACATATTATTAATGGAATTTAAAACAATGTGTTTGCATTTAAGAAAAACGAGATCCGTACTTGTTTTATGTCTTCATCCCTTATAAATGTTCAACGTAATGAGAAATATTGACACAGAGATGATAATTCTAACACTTTCTGTTATTATAACGGTTCAGCAACTTAAAAGTTCTAAAAACGAGATGGTGTACAATTCCGATAATGGGATTAATCTACTGTAGAATTAATCTACAAATATTATAATTTACTCTGGTTTATAACGTAGCAGCCGGTTGTCTTTGGCGTATCTTTTGGCTTTACCGTGGTTTCTCCTGCCCACTGTGAAACAAATTATATATTAATATACGTAGATATAGCTTTTTTTAGAATAGGTACTTACAACGTGAATGGAGCCCTTTGCCCCCCACGGGCGTAAGTCTTTCATATGCGTCGTCATGTTTGTCGGCGCAGCGAACTGGCCGACAAACATGGTAGCTATTATGGTAGCGCACAACAATTGCAAAATAAAATTCAAGTTCTGGTTAAAAGTTTACCGTAAAAAACCGCCATTGCATTTCAAAACGAATTTCTGTAGATACTTACAAAGGAAATTTTACTCATTTTCCCGATATATGTGAGTCAAGAAATATAACAATATATAAACAAACTTGTTATTACTAGCTTGTACGAGTATAATATTGTTTATTATGAACAGTATGAACCAGCATATTTGTATGATTTGTTTTTTTTAAATATAACATATGTGTGTACGAATAAAAAATCCATTTACAATAGCCGGTGTCGTATTTATTATGTAAGTTTAACATTATTCGATTTTTTTATCTATGAGAAACATGCGTTGCGTTAGCATAAAAATATCAATAACTCAATTAGAAGATCAATTCATTTGGTATTAAACTCTCACTCGTTTGACATCGAAGTTACAAATGGGCCAGCAGGAATTTTGTGCACGTTAGATCATTAAATTTATCATTATGGATCAATTCAACATATTTTGTTGGTTGTCTATTTGACAATAAATTATTGAACACTAGAGCTTCGCTCTAGCTGGAGGCTCCGCCCTGGTGGTTTAACAGAAGTTCATAAGTGTTTAAGAATTCAAGAGTAAATCACATGAATGAAATGTCTAGAGTTTATTCTGTATATATTAAAACTTAAAAGGGAAAGAAGTGGAGAGTGATAAATACATTATTTTGATTTTTGATTGACTATTTGGCAGTGCTTATAAAAACGTCCAAAGAGAGGTTAAATGAAATGTCTCGATGCAAATCTTTTAGTTTTTGGACCTTTAATTCTAAAGGTACTTTGATACTTAAGGTCTGACGTTTGTTGGTTATTAGAAGTTTAAAAGTGTAGAAGAATGACATGTTTGTGTGACGGTTACTTAGGAACTCAAGAGTACAAAACATGAATGAAATGTCTAGAGGCCAATCAGTATAATATACTATATATTAAATAGGAAAATAATTGAAGAGTAATAAGTAAAAATAATTTGTAGCAAATATTTTTGATTATTCGAGTGTCTGGCGGTGATTATAAAAACGGTCAGAGTACAGAATGATAATAATAATAATAATAATATTCAGAGCATAAAATACCTATATTATTTGATACTTATCCAGACATATTTTATACATAATAGATTAATTGATATATACATTCATATTTTTTTAAGTAAACCATGAAAGGTATAAATACATATGTTGATATATTTTTAGATGGCTAACCAACAATTTATCCTACTAAATGATAATAATTAAAAATTTTAAAATAATTTTATTTTTCATTATATAGACTATAGTAAACTATGTACCTATAATTGTTTTAGAAGAGAGGTGATTTTCAAAATATTATTATTTTCTGAGAAAATGAGTGTCGTGCATTAGATGCATTAAGTCCAATGTAAGTACACAGTGATTGTCTGAAATTGTAGAAATGTCGAACTAGTACCTTAATTGTATCTATGACATATGATTCAGATCAAGCTGATAATATTATAATATTTTGGTATTTCAAATTTATTTACACGTTATTTTTCATCTGTCTTCACAGATTCAAATTTAACATCACAAAATTATTTATAATATTATATAATTATTTATATTAACTATTAATAACTATTAACTTCATTAATGTATCATCGTGCAACTTTACTCTATCAGAAGTGCTTTTATCATTTTTATACAATCCGTACTCAGTGGAATGAGGATCTTCGTCCTTGATAACCGCTAAATATTGGTTTTCTTTAATTTCTATCTCAGATATAAACAGGGTAAACCGAAGACTGCCGAGGACCCTCTGACACGTCGGACAACCTAACCGTTATGATAACCATATCTCTAATCTCTTATCTCTTTCTATTATCTCTTATAAACAATCATTATCGAATTTGACGGTGCTGAGTAGTCTCTTAATCGGTACTTAGCTTGCAATATTTGTCCAAAACTAGGTATGAATTCTGATGCCCAATGATTTATAACGACATTACTTTAAGACGTATTGCGATGGCTCGACACAGTGGCCGGCGAAGCTCTGGTCATAAATATTATGCGATATTGTACAAATAATACAATTCCGAGGTGTAACTAGTGCATAGTTTAGATACTAAATTGTCATTCGAGATAACCAACTAATGACTATCTAATTATGATACGGATTGCGCTAACATCAAATTATTATTATATTTCATGTGATGACCGACGTAATAAAACTACTTGTCTTTGTTGAATCGAATGAAGTTATTAAAAAATGTAGACTAGAAAATTCAAATCTTTACAAGGTCATAAAAAGCGAACAAATGGATGAAAATTATTTCAAACGATAACATTTTCTAGAATTTTTTATCTATATATATATTGAATTTAAAACACATTATGTTCCCATTTGAAAAACGAGGTTCGTACTTTTTTAACGTATAAGGGTTGAAAATAAAAATTTTCTAAATATTAATATATGTACCTAAAAGTTTAGGAAAAAAAAATTTGCAAAATATTCATATTATCAGAGAAAATGAGTGTCTTACGTTAGTTGGATCACCCTGTAAAGAGACTATATAAAGAAATAAATTAAATATACCTAGTTAATAAAATGTTCTTCTCTTTTCATTTACATTGGCTATTTGAATTTTTTATTGTTATAAAAGATATTAGAAATAAGAATATTTTTGAGTGATCTATTAAATGTAATTTTTTTTGATAATATTATGTTGTGCCGTTATAATACATTATTTAAGTCATAATATTTATAAAATAACATTTCGTGATATTATGACATTTAAAAATGTACAATTTTTTAGTTCAGAAGCTTAGCAATAAGATTAATATTATTTACTGGAATTCAATCGCATTATAACCATACAAACAACTGGGCATATTAAATAATTTGTATTATGAGATTAACTATACAAATTATTTTAATCCGGTACTAAATAATAATTTTAAATTGCTATAACTTTTCAACAGTTGGGTATAAACCAATGTGTTAAACGTTTTGTTTTTAAATGTTGGAATTAAGCACAAAATGTGGCTAACGTTGGTCCTTATTCAACATCAGATTGTTGTTGTATGTTTCATGTTAGAATATTCTTCATACGTTATTTTAGCCATTCTATATCTATATTTTTTTTTTTTATAAATTATTCAGTTTGTTGATTTTTATCACCTAGTAAATATCTGATTTTGTATTAAATGTGTGTGTGTGTGCTTTTATGATAGTTGTATTATTAAATACATAGAGTCCCGTATGTTTTTTTATTCTACATAATATACGGTAAGTGTATTAGTTATTTCAAAGGTTTGTTGTTTTGCAATGCATCGGACGATTTGACTATAATTGTTGGTTTGTTTGAAAAATACGGAGGAAGTAAAAACGAAATCTCCAAACTTTTAGCCATGCAGGGTTATTTAATTCCATAATATTATACTTAGTATTTGTTTCTATGAGACAATCACTGTAGCTAAAAGATAGATATAAGGATATTTCATGTAATATCCTCCATTCGTGTAGGTATTGATAAAAACCTAACATGTAATTCTTAAACAACGCTTTAGCAAATAATCAGATATTCTTTTTGATTCTTCGTAAAATACATTCATATCTTTCTCACCTGTTTCATAATAGTTAACTACAATTACATCACACTGGCGGCTAGCTATTTGAATGTAACATAGTCGTTAATTAATTGACACAAAAGTCTTTACATTTTTTCCATTCCGACTTCCAGTTTGTTTCCTGTTTACTACCATCGTAGTTCCGAGGCTTAGTCAGACGATTCACAACAAAAGGGTTGTCTTTGTACAAGAGAATGTTAAAACTGATAGCTCACTATAATACTTATGATAATTGTTATTTGAATGGTATGAAATATTATAGAGACTTAATCAAGAGCGCCCATTGACAAGGAGGGGAAAACTCCCCCCCCCCAAACTTCTCTGCTAGTTAAAAAAAATGTATCCAATATCCCAGATTAGCAAAATCCATTAAAATTATATTAATAAAAACATTTTAGTGTTTTATAGGTTTATGATAATATTTATTGAAAAAATCGTTACACGATTAAATCACACACGTAATAATATAATAGTATAATTTTATTGTATTATTAAACGTAATATTCCTGGCCATTTAGGTAATAGCGACCTCTCTGTGACGGATATGATTCATGTGTGCCGTAAGTAACAGTACTGTTTTCTTGGTCATAATTTGACCTTGGCCGGGTATTGTATGCATGACTGAGCTCATAATCGTAATCGTAATGTGGCGTGGGCTGTAAAAATATAACAAATAAAACAATTACAAAACGTTCAAAGAAATATACTGTTGTCCAAATAGTCCCGTGACACTCGAAGTGATTCAAATTGAGGAGTAACTATAATTTTGTCAGTAAGGTATTGTAATTTATTTATATTTAAAAAAAAAAAATCTAATTTGTCCAAATTGTATTTTGGCTAAAATTACTGACATTTGGCACGACTTTATCATTGTCGTTTGATAGTGTTATCTATATTCGGTACAGAACCAGGTACCTATCTTATAACCAGGTCTGGTAACTCCGCCATGTTTTTACACACAAAAAACATGTATTAGCTGATCGATGCACACCGGTGGCCGCCATATTGGTAAAAAACGGCTACTTTGTTACTAGAACTGGTTATAAGATAGATGAAAAAACATACATTTCGACGTGTTATATTTATTCTTAAATCATACATTACTAAATCAACCAAGCAGTATACGTACAGCGTTTACTGGCTGGTCGGCAGTCAACTGTGGACCATCAACTCTGGAGTCTCCCTAATTTGTAAACAAAACAAAATTTAATTAATTTGAATTTGTATGTAGGTGCACTATATGTTTTTTGTAAACCATCTCATAATAAAGATCGCAGCTTTGCGCCTTCAAGGTACACGATGATACAACGTCTGTTTAGAATGAAAATTTTTCGTGCAATTACCGATAAGTTTTAAAATAAGTAGGTAATGCACAAAGTGGCAAAATGTGTTTAGGTGGTTTCATTATCAAACTAATTTCTAATATGGATGTTAATATTTAAAAAGTGTTTTTTCTGATTTGTTCAAAAAAAAAAAAAGTTTGATTGAAGCCTAAAAATATTATGGTATTCATAAAAAATAAATGTTTGGATTATATTCAAATTACTAGTATCGTTAAGAATACATTACCGGTACTTAATAGTAAAATACTACAAATTTTTTTATTATTTTTTTAAGTACAAAATAATGTATTACACAAAAAACCTTGAAAAATTGTCACCAATTACACAAATTGTATACGATTTTTGATTACACAACAATCCCATTTTTAGTCTATAATTAATAAAGCTGAACTTTTATTTGATTTTAGGTTATGAGCTGATGTTAACTTGATCTCCACAAATAATTATACTAACTAAAAATAACTAACATTTTTAATCTTGAATAATTTTTTTGGTTATAAGAAATAAAACCATTTTTGGTCATTAACGACTGCATAAGGCCATTTTCATATTTCTATTTTTTTTTTTTTTTGCTTTATTATTATCAATAATAATCGTTTAACTCATTTATATATTTTCTTAAAAATAATACTTATTATTTTGATTAAACTTTACCGGATAATTTGGGTCGTCATAACCGCAGTTTATACCGCCAATCAATGCCTGAAAAAAATTTAAATTTCGAGGAAAATTAATTTTTTTAGATAAATATTAAACAACAATATTTTTTTTGCAAATTTATTAAGTTTTATACTCAACAAATAATATCAATAGCATCGACAAGCGCATGTTGAATAAACGGGTCGACATAATAGAACACTATGTATGAACTGAGATTTCGGGTTGGTCAAAATTCAAACACTCACTGTGCTCAAAGTAAAAGACTACTGTGTATTATGTGTTCAACTCGGTTACTTTTATACCCAAATAACTCAATTCGGTACTAGGTTAAATGCAACCAAAACAAGTTTTTATTTGTTTGTGTTAAGTCTTACATAAATAATTAATAATTTTTCACAAAAACAAATATTTTTTTGCTGTTACGGATATTTGGTATATTTGCACAAATGTTAAATTTTACTTGTGACGCAGTAATGAAAATAATGCTTCGGACAGTATTCAGGTCCTAAAGTGTGCCTAAATTTCAACCAACCGAGATATCATTGGAGGTTTTCTTACATAATATTATTGTGACCTACTTTTTAAAATGATTTACACCCATAGGTACTAGTGGGTGAAATAATTTATCAAATTAATATTTATTCAGTACGTTATGGTGTTTATAATAAACAAACGCAGTAGGATAAGAATGGCGGATTGAAAAATATATTACAAAAAAACAATAACAACAACATAATTAGTGTAAATAATACACAAAAACAGTTTAATTTTCAGACCTTAAGACCTAAAAGTTCGCTGAAAAAATGAATGAATCTTATGAAAAAATATCCACCTCTCTTGAGGGAAAGGGTTTATGATCATTTTTGGTTTGTCAACCTTTGTTGGTAGTTCTATGGTTGAATGAGGGTCTTTTATCATGTTTGCCCCGAATACCATTTGTATTTTGTGATCTATAGACTTGCACATAAAAAAAATCAGTTAAGTGGTTAAGTAAATATCGGGTGTCCAGAAACAAAACAAAAATAATGACACATCATATGGTCATAATATTAGGTAGTGAACGGTTGTGTAAATTAAATTAAAAAAATGGTGTTTATAGAAACTACCCCCTTAAAATCAAAATTGAGGCTTTTGATGCGACCAACTAAGTTTATAAAAGTTAAAAAATTGAGGTGACAGTACCATTTTTTTAGAATTAAATATAGTAAACTATACTATACAGACTTATTTTTATTTGTTTTATTACTGATATTTTTTGTTTTCGGAAGGTTAGTACACAACGCCTCAATTTAATACAAAAAATTGTCAGGTATATCAATATTTTATTTTAACGTGAAACTTAATTAGGTCAAGATGCATTTACATAATCAATATAGTGTCTGAAAATAGCTTTGAATATGATAAAATTAATAGACAATCGAATAATTATTGACCACACGGTTATAACTAAATGGTTCGCGGTGAGGTGATGCGTCTTAAGCGACGAAATGTACTTAGCCCTCACAGTACTCAAGGTACAGATGTCTATAATTTAATTTTCTGCGCAAACCTCAGTCTTTAAATATAATAAAATATTAGGGCGATGTCGATTTACAGAAAAACTCACGTTGCGGTCAGCAATGTGTGACAATAAATCAATGAACGGATAGTGTAAAGTCCTATCAAAGATCTATAGGAAATCTGTTTCGAATGTGTTTTTGTATTAAGCTACTTATTTTTATTTACTATTAAAGTGTGTCGACTATTCGATATTAGGCAATTTCTTCAAGACCCAAGTATGACGCGAAACTTAACTTAAAAAAAAAAAACAATATTTAGGCGTACAATATTTATTCTGCAACGTTATGTGTGTCAACCGACAAATAAACTATAACCAATTTCCTGTTGTTCGATTTCATTGATAATTCATAACATCACTATTATCGCGTATATTGCAATAGTGTATTTTCAAAAGCATTAAATCCTAAATGCTTTTATTTGGTAAATAACTACTGTTTTATTGGCGACGAATACTCTTAGTCGTATATTAAATTATTTCATTTCCTAGTTGAATTACAGTAAACATTTTTTAGGGATTTGGATTTTTGTTGTGACAAAAAAACTTTATACCTCGAACATAGTTTGAATTCACCCCTTCTCATATCTTTACATTTTTGGTGACTGATCAGGGAAAAGTTTCGATAGTACAGTCTTTAAGACTTCAAGGTCACGTTTGAATCCACATCTAACTGCATGTTTGGATATCTGTGAATAGATTTAGTTTATTACACGAGGAGAATTATTTACAGTATACAAATATGTAATGACGGGTTAGCCGAACGAGGAAAAAATGAATATCAAATATTTTGTTAAGTTAAAAAATCAATTAAACACTCAACATGATTGCTTGTTTTGAGGATAGGTTATTTTTATACATAAATTATTATAAAAAAAAGTGTTGATCTTGTTGCATAAGAATCATCATAAAAGGGGTGAAGTTAAATTTAAGACATTGAAAGTTGGATTGCAGAGTGTAAAATATGTGACCAAACTCAAAAAGTTCCTAAAGAGAGATTAAACTTAAGAGGACGCCACACTGGCGAAAAACACGGTACAAAAAAGTTTTTCAACCGAGTCTGCAACCACGAATAAATTTAGAGTACTGGTGGAATTACAGATAATTATATATACTATATTAAGAAGCAGTAACAAGCTAGTATATTAAAACATCAAGTTTCTGGCTAATATTGTAGTGTTTATCTGGCTTAAAACAATTCATAAAGAATTTGGGCCCCTAAACTATTTTGAATTTAATTTCTAATTTAAACATTGAACGTACAACATATCTCTTATCTCCCACCCCCTATCTTCCACTCCTAACCTCATCCTATCCCCATTTCTTTTTTCGTTACGCTTTTTTGGTAACACTTTTTTCGGTTATGTGCCAGAGCTAAGAAATGAAAATGTCAATAATACTATTGTTATACATGTATAACGATAAGCGTTATGGATGGTCAAAAGGCAACGTTATGTGATATTGAGACGTCTTTAAATATCATCTTTAAAGCTCATGGAGACCGGTTGTTAGCCTCTGGAGGTAGGGAGGAAGAATAAAAGAAATTGTTAGATGATCAAATATCCAATAACAACGATGAAATAAATGATGATAATAACAGTACTGCGAACCAAAGAAAAGTTCGGAATTCTTATGTTTCGACAAATCGCTGTGTAACCAGCGTTAAAACAGAAATTGTAAAAAGCGCAATAGAGTTCTTAAGTAATAGACTTGCCGATGATCAATAAAGACATCGGTTTAAAACTTTTTTAAATTCGCGAAATGCTCAAAATACAATTAAAGCGATAAGATGTGACATTGAAGGTATGTTCGGTAATGAAAATATAACAACGTTTTGTGATGAAGTAATAGGTTTATATGCATCAGATGAACCTCCGTGTCCTGTAAACATTTCAGACCCGTCAACTCGACGACATTTTTTTGCAAAACTCGTACAAGCATATGTCACACTAACACCACATAGTTGTGAACCTAAACGTGCCGTCTCTTGCCAAGCTATTTTAAAAACCAATAAACAATCTTGCTATTAGAGGGATGCAATTAATAGTAGAATGTATATTGCTCTAAACAGTACTGGAACAGCAAATTTTGATCCCATACCAACACTGGCTGAGTTTTTAACATCAAAAGAACGATGTTACAATCTTCCAGACCAAGAAACTTACAAAAATCGTCCATTCATCAAAAAGTTTTTTGAAAAATAAATCTTAAAAAAAAAAAAAAAAATGTTGTGTTAAATAAATGATCTCTTTTATTTATTTGTTTTTATTATTTACTACTAGCATTATGATTTTTTTTTAATAATTATGAGGGGCGACTCTGAAATCCTTGCCATCAAGGGTGAAACTAAAGGGCCTATAGTCTGCCAAATCAAAATAAAAAAATTACTGACCTTTCTGTCCTTTTTTTTCCATGAACGGAGACGGACAGGACAGGCGGCTAAAAACAGGCGACGACTTTTTTTTTGCAAATCGTTACGATATAGTACCTTAGTTACCTCCCCCCACCCTATCTCCCCAAACATTTTTTTGTCGCCCAGTGAAAATTCCTTAAAAAATGCACTGGGCAGGGATGGCTATGAAGAAAATAAATATAAAAAAAGCACAGATTTATTTTAAGTAGGCTTTTTGGGGTTCGTTTGTGCATCTCAAATGAATTGGGGTTGAAATTTGAATATGGTAGGTACTTTTATGGGTCAGCTGTGATAGTATAAACAACTATTATTAAGTATTATGCACCATCAATTACTAAATCTATCAAGTACTGACTTGAAGTTTATAGCAACCAAGAAGTGATCGTAAAGTCTTCAAAAATATGAAAATACAATTTACAAAAATGAAAACAGGAGTCAATGTCAAAACAGGAAAAGTCCACTTGTAGGTTGAAATATATGATAATTTGTTTTATTGCAATTTAGGAAAACGTGAAAACTTATTGTAGATAACTTATAATTTAAGTTTTCCAGGAAAGGAGGATGGTCTTTCGTTACTTTTGTTATTTTTTAGGTACAATTTTAGGACCTAGTCGAAATCAAGATACAACATTACATATTTTATTGTATGGTATATTTTTTTTTTTGGAAAATTTACCCCAAGAAACATGTTCTACAATATTATTGATATCATTAAAAAAAAGTCTCAACTCAAAATATGTAAACAAAGGTCGAACCCAACAACACAATTGTGTTTGTTTATTTCCTTATTTGTCAGCGACTTGTAATTTTTAAAAGCCGCGCATATGTTGTTTTGATAATTGTTTTGTTTTTTTGACAAAACAACTACAAACAATGTACCAGCTATTTGCAATAATACAATACATAATCCTATACAAATAATAAAAAACAAAACCATTTAAATTTAACGTTAGTGTTTTTCGTTTACAATAGTATTATTCATATTATTATATAAACTAAAGTAAACTGATATATTCTTTTGTTGGATTTTTTTGTTGTTTTTAAATCAATTATTTTGTTTTGAGTTATTTTGATTTTTAAATGCATTTTACACATCAATGACGATAGTGCAAAAGAGATTTGACTATTTTTTCAAAGTAGAATTTTTGGTACAAAAGTCTAACGACATTATTCTCAATCGATTGCACTTATTGATACAATCAATTATAAATGGTAATAGGTTACTAAATATGGTATATGTTTACTAAAAATGAACATATGAATTGGTAAAGGAATAAATATTTAAACCTTTT